GAGCTCAAAACAGCCGATTAGGTCGTTACAGGGCTAGCCTATTTAATTGGGCTATAAGTGATTAATCAACTTTATTTGGACTAAGATGTCATCTTCCTAGAGGCCCAATTTAGTGTCATATGTGAAATGACGTGGTACTCCAAGTCAAACGGAAGAGCCAGTAGGGTCATGTCATGTGTAAGGCATGCCAAGTCAAATTAAAAGGCCATTAATATTATGCCACGTGTGTAAGTGACATATCTGGCCAATAAAATACCACATTGTCTCGCTTGAATCTGATTGGTTGGAAAAAGTTTGTTCTCATCACAACTCTTCTCTTACCACGCTATAAATAGGGGTATTCATAACTTAGAAAAGATACCAGAAGTCATAACAAGAAGCAAGAGAGAGCTCGTGGATCAAACGCCATAAATTTTTCTATAAGCTTCAAGTTTCAAGCAATCAAATTCAAGATCAAGAACAAATTAATAATATAAGGCATTCAAGATCAAGATTACTTGTTCTTAACAAAATTACTGTTCATTGGCGACCATCAAGGTGTTCCTGACGGATAAATCAAACTCATATTCAAGATCAAGCTTAAAGGCCCTTGAATTTATTTACTATTGGAAAGAAGAATCAGATGAATCATAGACGTTGTACACTCACATTATTTGAAATAAAATACAACGATTGTTACAATAATTTCCGGTTTTGATTATTTTTTTGACATAAATTTATTGTCTACATAATTATTCATCTTATAATTGTTAATGTTAAATTAGATAATCTTATTGTCGTTGTCGATGTTGGTATCATAATCACTAGCTACTAATAAGATGATTTATAGCTATATCACCCTAGTTTTTTGTGCCACTGAATGGAATCAGTATCAAGCGCACTAAGACATGAAAATTTATTTTCCGGTGCAGACATGATGTCAGCTTTGTAAATTTTTTTATGCCTTTTTCCTTTGAAACCTAGGTTTTCAGCGTTTTCATTTATGTCCATATATCTTTTACAAGTAAAAGGAACTTGGTTTCCTTTGCCACATATGTGAGATACACTTAGGAAACGGTGCTTCAATCCTTTGGCATAAAACACATTAACTATAGCATGCGTGTGGGACTTAACAACCTTACCTATGTTGATTATGATTCCTTCTTTTTTAATTTCAAAGCCCACACTTCCTCCTTGATAGGCTCTTAGTAAGAAAAAATTATTTATGTTTCTGGTCCTGTGGCGGGAGCAAGCACTATCAACATACTATCGATTTTTGCTTCCTCTCACCTTAGCCTGCAAAATATTTATGGATTAATTTTAGGAGCTCAGACTAGCTTAGATGCCTTTCTCCGAGTAAAAGGATAAATAATATTCTTTTTAGTCCATCCAGAAAGTTTATTAACCTTCTATGAAGGTCCGTGTTTCACTGTTTTTCTTTTCTCAATATATATAATATTTTTTAGACCTGCTTAGATTTTGGATGGGCATTTTTTCTTGAAGTATCCATTCTTTCCATAGTGAGTGCAGAGACGATTGTCAGGAATGTCTACATACTTGCTATGCGGATTGTAAGGAATTTTAGTCTTAGTATGTCCTAGACCCTTTTTATTATTAATGTGATTTTCATGTATCTTGAACATTATTTGGGAAGACCTGGTCTATTTCAAGTTCTTCTCTAATTCAAACTTGGCCTTATTTAGATTTTCTTGAAGTATCCTAGCATTTTCAGATTCAACTAGAAGTTTGTCATTGGCCTCTTTTAGTTCACTTTCTAGTTTCTCCTGAATGTCAGCGGCTGGCTCCTTACCTTTATTTGCTGCATTAAGCAATCTATTGTTCTCAGTTTTTAAGGCAGCCTTTTAATCCTCTAACACAAGAATCTAGTTCTTAAGATCTACTACAAAGGCCTCAACATTTTCTCTATTTATTTCAAGATCTTTTTGTTCCTTAATATCTCCTAGTTAGTCATTAATTGCTCCTTTTCATCAGAGTATTTTTGATATGCATCAAATAAGACATATGACAGAGAAATCAATTTATTTTTAGAGTAAGTGTGAATTTTGTCCTTAATGTCATGGAAGCTTATCTCAAGTTCTTCTTCCTCATCAACGTCAGAGTTTGAATTTTCCATTAATGCCAAGAGATCTTCTGATTCTGAGTCACTATGCTCTTTAGCCATAAATGATTGATCCTCATCTTCACTTCCATCACCACCAGACTCATCAGTTGAGGATGACTGCATGGCAGCCATGGCTCTTTTCGTAATTTTGTCCATTTCCTTGTTTGTCAATCTTCGTCCATGGACCCTGGTCTTCTGTTGCTTTCCTTTATCAGAATTGCTCTTTTTCCACTCAAGTTCCCACAGGGGGCAGTCTTTGATGAAGTTGTCTTTATTTTACAGTTGTAGCAGCCATCGGCATCATTATTATTATTATTATTATTATTATTATTATTATTATTATTATTATTATTATTATTGTTGTTGTTGTTGTTGTTGTTGTTGTTGTTGTTGTTCTTCTTCTTCTTCTTCTTCTTCTTCTTCTTCTTCTTCTTCTTCTTCTTCTTCTTCTTCTTCTTGGATTTTGATGACCTACCATTCTTCAACAAACTACCTTTCCTTATTGCCCTCTGGAAACATTAAGTCAGCAATGCCATATCATCATCTCCAGTGTCCTGTTTGTGGGTTGTCTTGAGCATTAGGTTCATTATCTTGCGAGGTTTAGTTGCTTGTCGATTAGGGATCCCGATTGAGCTTTAGCTTATAGGTCTCCAAATTTCCTCCTTTTCTTCTTCTTCTTCTCTATGATAGTTTTCCCCTCTTTCATCTTGAACAGTTCATATTGCCTAGTTAGCATGTTCATCTTTGACTGCTTCACTTGAGAGGTACTTTCATGAGCACACTGCAAGACATCCCATATAGCTTTTGCATCTCTGTCGGCAGATATTCTATTGTATTCATCAGAGCCAATTCTACATATCAAGATCTTCTTAGCTTTGTAATTCTTTTGAACTCCTTTAACATCTTCCTCAAGGTATTTTTCACTTGACTTCGGTCCAATAAGGACATCCTTGTCATCAAACAACATTGAGATTTTTGGTCCCTTCTCAACTATGTCCCAGAGTTCCAGGTCTTCTTCTTCCAAGAAATCACGCATCCTTTCCTTCCACCATCCGTAGTATTTTTTCATTGAACACTGGTGGCCTAACAGTTGATTGGCCTTCTTGAGCATCTAGTGGTGCAGCCATTTTAAATCCTTTCAAGGTATTAGTCTCTTACGTAAGGACCTGATCTGATAACAATTATTAATTTAGACTACACTTACACAACAACCAGAGTTGAATTATGTCTTGCATGATTTTTTGTGTTTTCAAAGACCCTAGTTCTTTGAACTAGTTCTGCACATATTGCGAAAAAGTAATCATCACAAAGATTTTTACATGGAAAACCTCCTTGCTCAAGGGAGTAAAAATCACGACCTACCCAATAGGATTTTTCTCAAATCTCCACTAACCTCAAAGAGCATTTTCTATGTTATAACTCAATAACCAAGAGGACTAACTCTAATACCCTAACCCCTACAATCAACCCAATTGTAGCATTTCTAGATTAACTCTAGCCTAGAAAGCTAACAAAAATAAAGTTTCAATAATAACCTACTACAAAACTTCTATGAAAACAGATATATTACAATTCAGAATAAAAGACTCAACCTAACAACTAAAGAACTTGAGCAGCTTCATCTCAAGAACCCGGTCTTCAGTTGATCGAGTTGGATCTTCAGAAGTACCTTGTTGCTTTGCTTGCTATTGTCATAAGTATTCTCACGTTTTCTCTCGATAGCAGTAGTCTTGAATTGTGGTAAAAGGTCTTCTTTTATAGGTGCAAAGTTGGCCGATTCAATTAATGCTCCAAAATCCAAAATATTTCGGTTAAGAAAATCCTTTTCCGCTTAGGCTAGGATTCCTTATTTGACTCCAACTTGCATCTTTCTTGCTTCCCACGAGTATTTTCCGTATACGCATATTCCTTTTGTTACACGAAGTCCTCCAAAGCGCGTATTCCATTTTCACGAACAGGATCTTCTAGGAATCCCTACTCGCATTAGAATGTTGGTCTTCCGCATCTGACTCGGTAAATTTAGCTTGCCTGCTATAAACCTGGTTCTTTTGACGTTCATCATACTCACTTAGGCACATCTTGACAGTAGTCTTGCAATATGCCAGAATAGACCTTGATACCTGGTTCTTATCATAGTTTATTAATAATCAAAACACAATATGTTCTCAGCTCAACATGATGCAACAATATAATCATTTTATGTACTTAAGAGTTCTTTTTTTTTTTATTTGCTTAGACTTAGTATAAAAAGTATAGAGATCCTCAACCAGCTCAACCTCGATATAGATAAAAAGAATCTTTGCTATCTTCATGAATATTATTTAAGCTAGTCCAGTTACAAACTCTTCTAACGTAATCAATTTCCTTTATCATAATTAACCATTCATCTTATAATTATTAGTGTTGAATTTGTTAATGTTATTGCTATTGTCGTTGTCGATGTTGGTATCATAATTACTAGCTATTAATAATATTTACAAATACAAGTAGTTTTATAGTAGTTACCCTATTTTGATTCACTCTCTGCTCAATAAATTCATCGTCCGCAAGGCTAACTGATGATCACTGACGATTCTGATTTCATAAACTCATCCTTATCTTAATATATTTTCTTGGAATTAGTATCAAATTAGACAACCATTTCTATTCTAGTAACAACTCCTTGACGCACAAATGTCATATATCTTTCTTCTTTTTATTCTATCTCAAAAAGATTGTCATACTTTTTTATTTAGAAACAGTTTAACTTTAAATTTGTTATTTTACCCTTGATAAGATGATTTATTGTTATATAAATGTTTATGACTCGTTTTACACCATAATTTTTTTTTAAAAAAATCTTTATTTTAAGATTTGGTGGCCAGTCAAATCCGCCACATAAATTGGATCAGAGAAGTAATTGACAAAAAGGGAGCACTATAGTAGTATATTACTGCATAGTAATTGTACAACAGAACATAAACGTTCCCTCGAGAAAACTATTACTCAACATATATCTAATAGAAGCAACATATCATGGCCATCTCCTTGGCATTATTCCTGACACCGTGCTGCTCATTAATAACTGATTCTGCAACAAAAGACATAAAAAGAAAAGTCATTAAAAAGTAAAAAAGGTCAGCACATTTCCTCAGTCACCAGTCCCACTACCTATTAATATATACAAGTATACAATTTAATAAAAAGAAGAGTTCTTATATGAAATCATTTTTAGGGTAACTTTTTCAATAAATTCAGTTTCCTTATTTTATATTTATATAGAAGTGAACATGCAATTTTTTTTTTTTTTTTGGAAAAAGGGCCTAAACTATTCCAATCACTTGTTAAATGGTTTACGGATACCCTCCGTCTAGCTATCCCTTCAAAAAAGCACACGACGCTAATTATATTAACAAATTGCCCTCGCGTCTAATGGCAGAATTTAGGGCGTTCAATTTAGTGACGTGGCAATTTCTTACTGGGCTAAAACAAAAATTTGACCTTATTTTCTTATCTGGGTCATAAAATACATTAACCCATCCGATAAAACCCCATTTTTAGATTAGAACGACCCGTACGTACTTCACTAAGATATCCATACTCAAGATTGCTTTTTGGGAAATTGATGCATGGAAAATATGATTTATAATTCTGATTCCATCTTCACACCTACTAAAATCACAAATTGAGCACTAACACTTTTCCCCTTAAATCAGAAATTCATGCTTTATAAATGCTCGCAATAGTGAGAAGGTTCAAGATCTGAGAGACCAATTATTCAATTTTATGGAGGATTCAAGGGACAGTGGGTGTTCCAAGCTTGAACAGTCTACCATGCACTGGATAGTTTACCCAGAGGAGGAGAAATTAAAGGCGTTAGCAAAGCAAGAAAGCCAGTAGAATCTGTGGATACCAGTGAGTTTGCAAGGATTTTTTTTTTTTCTGGCTTAAAAGAGATTCTAGAAGATATTATTTTTTTGATATCTATGAGATACATTATTTACACGTCATGCAGTTTGATAGCGTTGCACGAATAAGAAAATTGATATTTGGCCGCAGAAGCGACGCTCTAGTCGAAAACAAATTCGATCACTTATTAGGTGCTGGCCTTTCGAATCTTGTGTATGGATATCTTTGTGAAATTATGGGTTAATGTATTATTTTATGACCCAGTTAAAAAACCTTGGGTCGGATTAAATGGGTCGAAATAAGATTCATTTTTATTTCAGCCGAGATTGCCACATGGCCCAGTAAGAAGCTTCCAAGTCACCATATTGAACGCCTCCAAATTGTGCCGTTAGACGTGGGGGTAATTTTGTTAATATAATTAATGTCATGTGCTTTTTTGGACAGATAGATGGACGGAGGGTATCTGTAAACCATATAGCAAACGATAGGGATAGTTTAGACTTTTTTTAAAAAAAAATTTATAAAGGACTTAACTTATAAACATTTATAGCATAACAAACTTTTATAAAGTCAAGTTACCCATAATTATAATTAAGAAGGTTTACGTAACTTGTAGTAATTGCTTTTAATAAATTGATGGTCTAAATATTTTTTTATAGTTTCAGTGCATAGAACTTACGCATCACAATTGATGGTCTTGGAGACGGGGATGTCCATGGCGACACCACACTTAGAAGCAAGAGCCTGAGCAGCATCATCTTTAAGGTTTGTGTAACGGTTGGCTGCTGCCTTAACACAGTTACAAGCTGTCCTTCTATCATCTGTGGTTGCAGCCATTCCTTTCAAGTTTTTCACCCCACTGCAGCAAGCTGCTCCTGGCTCACCACCTTGTAAAAGATCGACAATCATAAAATAAAGTGAAGAATTTAATTGAGGCTTTTAGATAGAGTTGAGAAAAGGAAAAAGAATCAGAAAATAGTAAAACAAAATTTACCGGCTTATATATCTTACGAAACAAAACATGAGCGACAGTCAAATATAATAAGAGTTTAAGTTATATCCATATAAATTGATGACATAAAAAAATTACACTATTAGTGTAACTGAATCTAACCTGTTATAATGTGTTAAAATGCAAAATTTAAACTTAAAAGTTTCGCAATAATAGAGTGTATATATATATATATATATATATATATATATATATATAT